TTTTAGCCAGACTTTGGTACAGCGACAGCTCCCCGCGAGCAGGTTGAGCCTGCGCTGGAAAACCGGCGTCTGCCTTGTAGCTTTTATGCAAGTTCCCCACCTCCACGCCAATTTGACTCTTCCGCTTTTTGCTTCCACTTTTAATCTCGATGTTTTTTCTGTCCTGCTCTTACTTTATTACCCCCTTTCCCTCTGCGAACCCCGCGAGACGTCGGACCTCGAGGAGCCAACGCTTCCCCGGACGGTGCCGCAGAGCCGAGGGAAAACCGATCCGGCGCGTCTGTACCCGCAGCCAAACCCCGAGGAGGCGGCTGGCAGGGAGAGAGTGAGGTTTTTTGGGCTGTTTAAAGCAAACCGAAGAGGAATTTAATAGGAAAAACCACAAGGATGCATCAACCTGAGCACGGAAAAGCCGCGGGCTGTCTCCGCAGAGGCTACGAGCAATTTAGGGAAGTTTTAGGACAGGTTGTAGACTCCCGATGATCCCTTTAATGCTTTTCTTGCCTATTTTCTTGCTGCTGGCCTTCTTGTCCAGCTCGTCCCCTTTTTTCCCGCCCCCCCCCCACCCCTGCACCCGCAGCAGCACTGACTATGCAAGAGCTTCGCCCGCTCTCCGGGGCTCAGGAAAACTCAGCCCGGGGAGAGCACTGCCCGCGCTCTGCCAGACTCCGAGGAGGAAAATTGGCCCCTTCAAACCCTCGAGGGGTTTTGGGTGGAAAGGTGCGGGGGGCGGAAAACTCAGCCCGGGGAGAGCACTGCCCGCGCTCTGCCAGACTCCGAGGAGGAAAATTGGCCCCTTCAAACCCTCGAGGGGTTTTGGGTGGAAAGGTGCGGAGCGCGGGGAGAAGCCGGCAGAGTGGCGGCGGGCGGTTGGGGGGTTTAGCAACCCCGGAGCGGCGTCTCTTCCTCCTCCGTCCCCCTGCGGGTCCTCGGCCAAAGAAAACATCCCGCCGGCTCTATCCCCGGCAATCCGGCTGGCGCGGCGATCCGGCTGGCAAACCTTTTTGGGGTTTCCCCACCGGTGATTTATATGCAAGAGAGGGGCTCGAGTGTAAATAGTCTGTGCATAAACATACTGTATTTCTGTAAAAAACTACAAAACAAAACAAAACAAAAAACCCAACCAAAAAACCAACCCAACCCACCACCGCCAAACTCGAAAAGAGACAAATGACGTGATTTCCCTCCGCCGCTCCGCGTTAACTGGATGGAATCCAGATGGGAGGCGGAGGCGCGGGGG